TCCACCACTACTCTCTGGGTGCGCCCCATCAGCCAATTTTTTACCCATCCAACTGTGCAGGCATCAATGCCACAGTCACTTAATTTATTGATGAGGATGGGGTAAGAGACAGTGTCAAAGGCCTTCTTAAAGTCCAGAAAGACTACGTCCACGGCGACACCATCATCCAAGGATTTAGTTATGCAGTTTTCTATAAGTGGTATAGTTTAGATTGGTAGCAAACAGAACACACGTGATCTTTTGGGGGGGGGGGGGGGGGGGGGGGGTTCTTTTTGGGCGCATATCTTAGATTGGGTTCCGCTATTTTTAAGACAGTTTAGACATGCCGAATTTCTATTCTGTTATGTTTATAAACCAATTTTGTGCACCAGCCTTCTGTTCTGTTACCCTGAATACACCTGTTTCTGATCACTTATACCAGTAAAAGTGTAATGTCTGTTCATGGCCCAAGAATCATTTAGTCTGAGTTCTTGTAATTGGTTGTTCCTAAACTATCTCAGCCAGATGCCTATTCACATTCTTCTTGGAAATTTCCAATGAAAGTGATTCCACACACTATTCCTGATTTGCTTCTGATAAACACTTTACATTTATTAAGCTTCTTAAATGAGTCGAGCTAAGTTTGCATAGATGGAATGGCTGAACTGTTATTGTGGGGATGTGGTAGCCACCCTTTAGTTAAGGTTGTAATGCACTGTTCTTTAAGCCCACTATTCAAACTAGATCAATTCTTTCTAAGTGGTATTTTCTTAACAAACCTAAATCAGGCTGGAGTCCACTGGTGTTTTCATCAATCTTCAGATTGGTATAAAGTGGAGTAGAATCAGAGTCCAAGCGATTGCAGGGTACAGCATAGACATCAAAAAGGTCTTTAAGATCCTTGCGACTGCGAACACTACAATACAGGAGGAAAGTTCGTTTTGTGTCTTTTATAGATTTTTATCATCTTTGAAATGGTAAATGAGATCAATAAAAATACAATTAAAATAGATTTTACCTGAAAGATTTGAAGAGTTCTACAAATTCAACAAAACTCATGTTACTGTCAGAAACCATGAAGTTCTGAAACCCCTTCAATCCTCCTTTAACTCGGCCATGCCAGCTACTGCTGCTCCATGTGCTAAAACAAAATGTAGTTTTATTACACTTCATATCCACTAGTTGAAAGGTTAGGCAGCACTGCACTGAAGTAAATTCTCAGTTTTCTTTAATATTTATTATCAATATATGAAAAGAGTAAAGAAAAGTAACACCTTTTATTGGCTACAATCATAGTTGGTATTCTGATTCTGTATTTCAGATTAGGTGGTCACTTCCTTCAAGACCACTTTAAACTTTTGCAGAACAAATAAAACAGAAATTCTATTTAAAACTTCTCCAGGCATGGAAGGACCTAATTTAGATATGTATAAACCAAAACGAGTTCTACATTTTTTCTTTTAACAAAATAATCTCAATATAACTGTAGCACAGAGCCTGAAAAATAGGTCCTCAGGTTTGCTTTTACTGTTTTACCAGCAAAAAAATTAAAATGGGAATTATGTTGTACATGTATAGACTGTCTTGAAACATAGAACTAGTGAAATAAATCAAGGATTTTAATTGGGTTATGTAAGAGCAATAAATGTTTCACTTATACATCTGGGCTTCTCATGTAACAGCAAGGAGCACTGATGAGGCAAGGAGAGGCCCCTTGTCTGCAGATTCTAGTGATCACCCTTATAGGTGCCCTAGCCCCTTTGCATGCAAGTAACATAGAATAGGGGAAACAGAGCATGATTTTCTAGCAAAAGAAGCAGGCACTTCTCAAGAAGTCAGGAATACCAACCACAGGGCAGAGAAGGCAAGCTAAAACCACCTTTTCCCTTTGGCCTGAGACCAGGGATGGGCAAAATATGGCCCAGGGGCCGCATCCGGCCTGCAGCAGGTCTTTGTCCAGCCTGTGGCGGGTCCCTTGGTCCTTCCTGGCCCAGGCACTGTCCAGCTGTGGTGTGTCCTGCTGCCCCCTGGGCACGCCGAAGGGCTGGGGTGGCTTCAGAGCTGGACTGCCTTTCTAGGCAGCCCAGGTAGCAGTGGCTCTTTCCGCTGCCGCTGGTCCCTGCCCCACAGCACCACTGGGGACCCATGCTGCAAAGCCCCGGCCCTGTGTGCCCTGCACCTCCTCTGGGCTCTCCTGCCCAGGCTCAGCAGTGGTGGCACAAGACAGAAGCTGTTGCTCAGTGCACGGGAAAAGCGACCCCTCCCCTTCACTGCTGCCAGCTGTTCCTGCTACAACCACCCAGAGCCCATGCTGGGCTGCCCTGCATCTGCTGCCCTGCAGGGCAGGGCAGCCCAGAGGTGGTGGTGATGGCAGCATAGACGCAGGGCAGCATGGCATGGGCT